ACACACACACACACACATTTAAAATACACATAAATACACAGCTATCCTGTTTACTCTGTAAAATAAAAGTTGTCCGAACTGCAAAGATAAACGCGGATGCTGATGTAGTGCATGAGTCGGACGGGACGTCTCACCACGGGTAACTGCTCAGCATCTTCTTGAGGAAGGCGGAGGCACTTTGGGACACGTTTGGATAAAGTTTAGTTGGGTCAAACTTCGCCATCAGGATTTTGGATTCGACCTGTTGAGGGTCTTTATCTTCGAAGGGCAGTCGACCGCTGAGCCTGGTGGTGAACACAGAAAATATATTGAATGAATATCCGTCTCTTGTTGTAATGTTCACCAACAAACACGAGTCTCGACGTTCCACCTACATGATGAAGGTGACGACTCCGACAGTCCACATGTCGGCCGGCGGACCGACCACTTCCCCTTTCACCATCTCAGGAGCTTGGATCAGAGGACAAGACAGGAAGGTCAGAAAAGTAAAGAATGATTTTCAACGCGGCGAAGTCGTCGTTCGCTCTCGTCCTCACCCATGTAATCCAGCGTTCCTGCTCCTGAGTCTCGGTGTTTGAGGCTGAGGGGGTTGAAGGTCTGCGCGCTCCCAAAGTCCACGATCTTGATGGCGTTGAGGTTGGTCACCAGGATGTTGTCGGGCTTGAGGTCCAGGTGGAGGACGCGGCGATTGTGCAGGTACTCGACGCCCTGGAGGATCTGGACCAGGTACCCCACCACGTCGTCCTCGGAGAAACGGAACCTGAGGAGTGCAACGTATGACTTTAAGTCGTGTTTCTCAGAGTGAGGCGACATGTCCACCCTCCTACCTGTCGATCAGGCTGTACAGCAGCTCTTTGCCGGTGCAGTACTCCGCCACCAGCACCAGGTAGCGCGGCGTGACGTAGGCTTCGTGCAGCGCCATCACCTTTTCATTGTGAAGCGATTTCAGGATCTCGTACTCCTTCAGGATGTCCTGCTTGTTTTCCTGACTGTAGGGAATGATCTTCGCCATGTAGATTTTACCCGTGGCGTTCTCTCGACACTCCCGAATCACGCCAAAACGACCTCTGAGAAACAAAACAATCATCTGAACCGGGGCTTCATCGCATGAGGCGCGAGCGTTCATCGAACACTAAACACACAGACTGAAGACGAACCGGTGATTCTGTTCCAGTGTCTCTCTCACCTGACTTTCTCATCCAGGAAGGTGTAAGGTTTCTGCGGGACCCCCTGCCGGAGGGCGGTGGAGGGCGTGGTGCGTCCTGACGGGGTCCCTCTGGTCGGGGTGCGGGCCCCTTCAGCGATGGGGCTCAAACTGGACGTCTGGAGCACTGGGGGGGTAAAGGAGACAGGAGACGGCGCCACCCGAGCGGTGATGGTGGCGGTGGGAACGTACGAGGGCACAGAGGCCACGGCTGGTTTTGTGGGAGTTGAAGGCGGGGTTACAAGCGGAGGTGGCGGCGATATGGGTGGGGTCTGGGTCATCGGGGTCACCACGTTTACTGGACTCTGGGGTTTGGGGAGGACAAAGGTCGGAGGGGGTTTGACTGTGGGTGAAGAAGGAAGACTGGAGGTCGTCTTGTGAGGCTGCTCTGCTGCTGGGGGAGCGCTCGCTGCGTCGCTGGAGGGCAGAGAGGACGGAGGGGTGGGCGTCACCACTGCTGGGGGCGCTGGATCCCTCGGAGAGGGGATGGTGGAGACCGTCACCCTGGGAGCACTGTGGACTGGTTTGACCGGAGGCACGGCCACTGAAGAGGGGGCCGCGGGTTCAGGTGGTGTCGGGACAGTTTTTACGACAGCGACAGTGGGTGACGGACCGCCATCTGAGAAAACAAACATGGATGCTTTTCATCACGTGTCACGCTCCTTCATTAAAAACAGCCCAGAGTGATTCCTGTGGTACGTTCCACATTCGAGGTTTAATAAAATACCTGCGGAGCCCAGGCGCACTGGAGCGGAGGAGTTGCTGTGCGGCCCCTGTCCCGCCTTGTTGACGCAGGAGACACGGAACCTGAAGGCGCCCCCTGGAGGCAGGTTTGTGACGTTGTAGTAGCAGTCAACAACTCTGGTCGCTACGCTCAGCCACTTTGAATCTCCTGCACAGCAGAGAGGAGAGAGAGAGCAGAGAGAAGTAGTTCATCAGCAGCTTGAGATGACACTGGTCTATTGTAGTTCACCCATGACAACACAGGAGGGTGCTGTTGTCAAACTAATAACTGAGGCAAAAATTCAAAAGCTGGAAATAATAAAATAAAAAGTGTTGTGCTCGGTTTATCTGCTGAAAAAAGAAAAGTCTGTGTGGTTCTACTCTTCGTGCACCATGAGATGATGAGGATGAGGAAGATGATTCATCGTGCACAATGACAGCAGCACTGTCTTCTGTGTCTTTGTGGATCATTTAGTTTTGTCCACATGCAGATTTACTTTGTCCTTTTTCAGACACTGAACCTGAATCTGTTGGTTTAAAATCTCCAATCACACTCAGGGAAAGTGAACGACTCCCTAAAGCTTCTGGACTCATTTAAAAAAGAAAAAGAGAAAACCTCTCTCACCCTCTGTTTTCCTCTCGAGCGTGTAGCTGCAGGGCGACTTGCTGTCGGCTGGTTTCCACAGCACCAGGGCCGTGTTGTTGTACGTCTGAGGGATTTCAGGGGTCCCCGGCCGCTTTGGGACACCTTCAACAAAATAAGAGGAGGGGGGTAAACCAGGTGAGTGGACACGGGCGTACAGAAACACACAACCAATCATAGACTGTGCAAAGATGGAGAACGTATGAAACCCTACTAGCTATGGAGAGCGTGCAGGAGGTGGTGGTAGTAGCGATCGGGTTGGTAGCTACACATTCGTAAATCCCAGTGTCCCTCCGGCTCGACTTCATGATCGTAAGAAGCTGTCTGCCATCGGGGTGAGAGATCAGGTTGATCCTGTCATCCACCTCCAGAGATTTACGATCTGGAATAAGAACAATAGAATTAGAAACAAACTGAGCCTCAGCTTCTGCATCAAACCACAATAAATGTCGTTACCTTTCATCCATGTGATTTCTGGATGTGGGCTTCCAGCAGGAAGGCAGCTGAGCGTCACAGGGTCCCCCTCCGATAAGATGTGGTCCTTCAGCTTGATGTGGAACACGGGAGCGAAGTCGGACGCAGAGCGGATGAACTGCTGGCTGTTCGACAACCCCTCCTCTTTGGGGACGGACGAGGGCAGATCAGACTGAGAGGGAGTTTTGTCTTTCTTGCCTCTTGTCAAACCCCACCTGTCCCACCGTGATCGCCTGTCGCTCTCCGAGGCTTTTTCAGATTGGAAGCTCGACGTGGATTCAATGGATTCTTTGGAAGCGCCGGAGCCGGCCTGTTTGGCCAGTTGATTCTCAGGGATGCCCATTGCTTGGGGGCCCCGCCCCTCAGATTGGGAGTGACGGTGGCGAGTAAACAGCGGCGTCCTCTTCCCCTCTGCTTCTCCCTTCCTCTCCTCAGACTGACTGCGGATCTTTGTGGATATTTCTGCCACTTTGTTCTCAAACTTCTGTCGCATGGCCAGGACGGGGGAGTCTGTGACTTTTTTTAAGTCCGCCTTCAGCGCCAGGTCTTTCTGACTTCCTTCAGCATCTTTATCCTTCCTCTCCTCCGACTGCGTCCTTATTTTGGCAGAAATTCCGGCCACTTTGGACTCAAACTTGCGCCTCATAGAAGAAACCGTGGACTCATCAGCTTTTCTTTGCTCCCTCTCTGCACTTTTCAGCTCCTTCGTGTCCAGGGACTTGCTGCGGCCGAGGGCCCACGAAACCCTCTTGCCGACAGATTCCTGCACATCCTGACTCTTTTCCTCTTTTGGCTTCTCCCCCTTCTTATCAACAGATACTGATTTCTTCCCCCGCAAGGAAAACCTCCCAATGCGTCCGAGTCCTGTCTCCTTGTCTTCGTCTCTTAAATCTTGAACAGACTTGGATTTCTCCTGCAGTCCCTTGGAAACCACTTCTAGAGGCGCTCCCCTCGCACCCGGCCTGTAAACCTCTTCACCCCCCTCCGCTGCCTTGCGGCTCAGGCCCGGGGATCTCTCCTCTGATTTGTTTCTGGTCAACTTTCTGAGTCCGCGGGTCAAAGACGACTCTCGTTTCTTAAACCTGGCTTCAAACACCTCTTCTGAGTCAATGTCCTTGATGTCGGTTCTGAGCACGGGCTGGCGCGCCGCGGCAGCAAGATCCGGATTTGACGACGTGGAAACAGACGCAGGAGATCGGTCAGCACTTGCGACTTTGGCAAACACTGCTGGATGTTCAGGAAATGCAGGGAGATCTGTACCATTTGGCCTCAAAGTAGCTGCAGGGTCTTTGGATGTTCCAGATGTTTGAATCGCTCCTGAAACACCGTGAGTGATTCTTTCATCAGCAGATGTCGTCTCATCCTCTCTCGCATCATTCTCACTAACATGTAACTCCGGGTTCTCCTTCCTGTCGTCTTGCTCATCCTCCTCCTCTATCACAATAATGGGAGTGACTACAGAGGGCGATCTGGACTCAGGTTCGACTCCTTCTATTAGTTCTAACTGGGTTTTGGTCCTTTTCTCTGTTTCCTCGTGTTCTCTCACATTGTTCTGTTTCTGCTGTTGGTCCACTCCTCTCGTCGGGAGTTTAAACGAGTCTTTCTCTGTGGGGGAGGTAGACACAGACTCCAGTGTGGTTTGTTCTGTGAGTGCGGACATCGAGGTCGCCTCCTGGAGCTTTTTCCCTTCTATGCTCCCACCGCCCACAGATGGGATCTCTAAGGGTGCTCCGAACCGGCGGTGCAGCGGCATTGGTTCAGAATCCCCTTGAGTGAAGGAGGAGCTTTTGCGAAACACTTTGGTCTTTGGTGTGTCCTCGCCAGGAGTCTCAGAAGACGCTGCTCTGGTGAATGTTGGCGGCGCTGCTCTGGATCTCCTCAGATTTCGATCTAAAGATCCCGTTTGCCTCTGATCGTCCATACCCAGTGTTTCAAACAAGGGCCCTCGCAGGCCGCTCATCTTTTTGTCCACGCTTCCTCCCCTGAGCAGCCGCTGTCTCATCAGCTCCAGTTTCAGAGCATAATCCTCCTGGCTTAACTTTGCCGCTCCAGGACTTGGGCTGCGATTGGGTAGCTCCATGGAAACAGCCTTTTTCAGACTCTTGTTACTTGCTTCTGAGTCCTCGTTGGCCTTTTCCTCTTCTGGGTCAATGTGGAGCAGCAGTGCTGAGTCAGCAGAACTTCCTCTCCTCATGGTCGCCCTCCTGGATTTTGTCTCTGATTCGTCGGACTCCACACTTGATCCTTTTTTCAGAGGAACTCGTTTTGACTTTCCTGTTTTCTCCCCATTTGGAGTTCGCTCTTGATCAGTCAAACCTTTCCCAGCTGCTGCTCTCGGACTAGTTCTATCTAAATTGTCCACTTTCCTTGTCCCATCAGTGGCGACACTGGGCCATCCTGGACCGTCTTCCTCCCCTGGGATCTCGTTAAGGGAGACCCTGGACCCGGAGAAGACCATGGACAGTGGCATAGGAATGAAGGGAAGCTCGTCTACGTCTGCGTCTGAGTCAGAGGAGGAGGACAGCGGTGGGGAGCCTTCTTTTAAATGTCGTGCCACAGCGATGGAGACGTGGCTGGATGAGTCATTCAGGAGCTCCGGGATCGAACGCATAATCATCTTGGCTTTATGGCTGATGAGGGAACGCTGGAACAAAGCAACAGTAGACTGCATGAGGCATGGACGAGTGAACTAGATCTGACTCATAGTGTTTGTTCCCCTTTTGAATGCTCATCTCAGGCCTTAACAACCAAACCCAGTTTTACATGTATGTATGTGATTTGAACACAGTGCAGATCATCAAAGCATCAAAATTCAAAGTGAATGAGCTGCGTTTCTGTTGAAGCCTCCATCGTGTACGTGCTTTAAAAGTCTCAGACCTTCATGTCCACAAGTCAAGTACTGATCCACGGGGTCTTACCTGCCATCGCCTCCTTGATAAAACTTGCTTCAGCATGGCCGTACTGATGCTCTTGTTCGTCGGTGACTGCAGGACACAAAGACGGAAGCACACACCATTAACCTGAGTGGAGATATAAATCCAGTGAGACGCTGAAACATTAGAGGAGAGTGGCAGTTCACCTTGAACCAAGGATGGCGCAGGCACTCGGCTGCACTCGGCCTCCTACGACAGAGAAAAACATTGTCATGAGGACGGATCGCGGTCACGGTTAAATGGAGTGAAATACAGAGTCGTCAGGACGCTTACAGTCGGTCCACCACCAAGAGTTTGATGACAAATCCCTTTGCTTCTTTACAGAGGTCAGAAAACATGCTCTCCTCAAACGCCACGTTGTAGTTACGGATGTTCAAGGCAGTGGCTCGGTCGTTCTCTCCAGCGAACGGAGACACGCCCGTCAGGCTGTGGTAAATACACGACAGATTATGAAACTGCAGAGAAATACACGTGATGTGAAGAACAAACACTCCGGTCACAAATCTGTGTAACGTACCAGAGGTAAGTGATGACACCGACAGGCCTGCGGGAGAACGAGACAGATAAAGTAAAGATGGTTGACGGTTTTTCAGGTAGCACGTGTTGCGTTTAGTCGCTCACCATATGTCTGTTGCCGTGGAAACTGGAGTTTGGTTAACGATCTCTGGTGCGATGTATTCCGGCGTGCCGTATTTGCAGTAGTACTCCTCCGACGTCTCCAGTTTTATGGCATTTCCAAAGTCACAAATTCGGATCTGGTCCCTCCCTGGACTTGCCATTAAAATATTCTCGGGCTGGGGGCGAGCGGGTGAACCCACAACAACAACGTTAACCACTCGTATCGCTCTTGATGAAATACTGTTGATGAAGCAGGAAGTACCTTCATATCGAGGTGGGCAATGTTTTTCTGGTGGAGATAACGAAGACCCTCCAACACCTGCTGAACGCTGCAGCGGATCTGTGGAGAAGCATCAGGGAGTGAATTTAAAAGTCGTCATGTTACATAATGTTAGCGCAGTGCGGTCGGCAGGGACACACAAACCTCCTGCTCCATGACGGTGGTTTTCTTGGCCATTCTCTCAAGAAACTCCTCGTGGCATCTTCACACAGGAGTTGAGGAAAAAGACAGAGCGGGGGACTCGAGTGCAAGAGAGATGAATTATAAATTAGCAAAAAAAACTCCCACACATCCCTTCCTCCAGCTAATTCCACTCGTCGGTGGTGAGTCAGAGAGAAGAAGCTGCGCTGTGCTTCATTCACGCCTCCCGGGAGCCGCAGAGGACATTAGGATTAATGCTTCAGAGCTAAAGTGTCCTTGAGATAAAGTTAAGAGCACTTTTGGTCGACGGTGAAGCACATCAAATCTAAAACAGTGCAGCAGGAGAGCCGGTGACACGTTTGTGATAAAACATCATTAAATATAAAGGGATACAGCTCCGTGATGAGCACCACCACGTCCTTCTTCTCGAAGGCGTCGTGGAAATAAAGAACCCTCTCGTTGTCCAGCTCCGACAGAAGCTCCATCTCTCTGAGGGCCGACGCCTTCCTCTTCCCTCGCGCCGAAATGAACTTGGCGGCAAACTCGGCCTTTCCCTTCTTCTGAGTCACTCTCTTCACGTAGGAGAAGACGCCCCTAAACAGGAATGACATTAATTCTGATTCGATTACACCAACAAAGACTTATTCCAACAGTCACAAAACATTCCAGTGATTGAATGCTCTCAGTGTCTCTGGAACTTTTCTGGAACTTTTCCTGCAGCCCCCGAGGTTTAATTAACCAGCTCACATCAGTTGGGAAACACATTTTTCTCGTCCTCCTGCTTTAACGCTCCGACTGCGCCACAACTCAGAGCGACTTCCTGTCTCCTCCGAGTCCGACCAAAACAAATCATCTGTCGTCTGAATGTGTTCACTCTGCTCAGGCTGGTGACTCATCTGTCACTGCTGTTGTTGAGCTGGTGTGACTCCCCCTCCTCCCCTCCCACAAGCCTCGGCTCCCAAACACGACGTCCTCGCTGTGTGTGGACGCAGGACAACACACACACACACACACACACACACACACACAC